TGGAAAACGTGTCTTTATCAAAAATTCACGTAGATGAAGTCAGAGTATTAATTAGTGTCAAATGAGAAGGTGTAGTTAGTCATAAGATAAAATGTTTTATGACAAGACTTTACGATAACATGCATACAGCTACAATGTATTGATTAATTAAATTTATCATGCTCAATTAATTGCCTGTGGAGGAAAAGTACCCTATAATAAGATATATGTCTACCTATAAATACTGGCCGAGTCTAATGCCCGTTGAAAAATAAATACGGTACACATTCTTAACTATGCTTCGCCAATACATTTCAAAAATACTGCATTCGATTTTCGAATCCCGAGACGGAACGAACGAAAGCGACCCCGAAATTGCCGGCCGCATTCACCCAGACAAAAGCCCTAAACACACCCCGCGAGCAAAAAGAAAAGCATTTCCATCCCATCCCCTCCTTCATTTAAATTTCCCGCCCTAGAGTGGGGGCGGCGACCGTAGGGGCGGCTTCCGCACAACAGAGACGAAACTTAAAACCTCATAGAAAAGAATGAGACGGTCGTATGTCCACCTGTTGCGTTACGAGTTTCATATTTTCGCGACGGATTCTTTTTTCGTTTCTTACCGCGTTCCAAAGGATTTGAATGGCGCGCCCGCGTGCATGCGTACTAGGGTTAGGTATCGAACGTTATTGACGTACGGGAAGCGACGCTCGACGTTCGATTTTTAAAAGCACACGTCATACTATTCTAAATTCAAATTTTAAATTTCAATCTCCCTTCGCGAAAACACGCTTTAATTTTAAGCTTTAAATCAATGTGTATTTTGGCAAACGATATGCATATATAACACTATAGATACTGAAGTATTTATTTATAATCTGTTTGGTATGTAGATCAATTATGTATGTACGAATTAAAACAAATATCATATCAAGTCAAGCCTATATAAACAAGACAAAACTTAGAACACAATTTAAATATAACATTTGAAATAACAAAAACATTTTTATTATTCTTTGACATATACCCAATTAGCTATATGAAAGAAAAATGTCTATGTACCTACAATGTTTTCCCATATGTGAATAATTTTATTTTTTTACTTCAAAGAGGGTTACTCTCGCGAACGGTCAGGTTGTGAAATGGGCTCCCTGTTGAGGTTTTCCTAGAGATTACAGTATGGAGTTCTTAATAAAAGGTCAAAGGTATTTCAAGGTCAGCAACTCGCATGTGACACCCCTAGTGTTACAGGCGTTCATAGACTACAGTAACAGCTTACCATCAGACGAGCTGTATGTTTGTTTCCTGCTTTCTTGGTATAAAGATATATGTATTTTAATAATATGTATGTATATTTAATAATACTAATTGTGGATAACAATTCATACTACTGGGTTGCTTTTATACGTAACATCATCAGCAATCTTAGCATCGTTTTTCTACAAACTGGTCAGTTCTAATTTAAGATTCTGTAAAAAAAGACAACTCCAATCGTGGCAAAACCAATTATTTTTAATTCAAAACTAAATTACTGCACTGATTTTGATAGAATTTCTATGGAACCAATTTGTACGTCAACCTTTCAAGGTAGAAAAGAGATTTCCAAATTGGTGTCCAATATGTATATAGTCATGAGATAAAAAAAAAAAAGAAAAAAAATACAACCGAATTGAGGACATATTTTTTTTTAAAGTCTATTAAAAATTAAGACATATAGTTAATAATAACTATAGTTAGTAATAACACAAAACTTGTATATACTATCATCAATAAAAATACAAGTATCAAGAATGTTTACAAAATATATTAAGTATAAAATAATAGATTCTTCTACGATCAAACTATGTTGTAAATCGTTAACAAGTCAACATAATAAAACAATAAACAATACTGTAGTAACAAAATATTAACATATCAACAACGAACGGACAATGAAGGAAACAATTATTACCTATACATATAGCTTGATAGGAAGAGCAAAATAAATATTAATGATATGTACTTTCCCCCCCGGCTATCCATTGGTATCACTGCGGCAGGATGAAGACAGAAATAAAAACTGTTTGTGTTAGCGTTTCCGGCGTCCCGGGTTCGAATCCAGACACGTGTGGTTATTACGTAGAAATAATCCAATAAAAATAGTATCTTGGACTATTAAATTTCTATGTGGAAGACCAAGATGTTACAGTGTGATGGGGTAAACATTCTAATTTGGGTACGACCGCTGTGATTTGTGATTCAGAAGGGTTTGAATTCGCGACGTGGCCGATTGGTCATTCTTGTCGCAAATATGTAATAAATACCTTTTACCAGAGGGAGACTTTGTACAAAAGTCAATTGCTTGGGTACCTCTGTCCCATTCGTGTTTCAACCGTGAAGCAGTTGTGTTTGCATGGCTGTGTTTCGGTTTGAAGGGTGGGATATGGCGTGAAATTACTGGGTACAGAGGAATAACATCTGAGTCCTCAGGAATGGCAACGCATGGGGGGTATCATGGGCGAAACAGTGTACTCTATTATGTCCATATTACTGCTCATGTCTATAATAATAATAACAATTTATTTAATTAATAATATAAAAATGTTAACTATGGGTATATACCTGAAAATAAAGAGATTTATTATTATTATTATTATTATATAGGCGACGGTTACCACTTTCCATCAGGTGGGCCATCAGCTTGTTTGCCATTCTAAGTTGTATAAAAAAAAATACTAAACTAGGTGTTATTTTGCAAAAGTCCGTATCACTGATTGTTGTTTATATTGCATCAACTATTAACTGTCCACTGTTGAACATAGCTTCCCCCATAAGGAGGGGTTTGCCAGTAGTTGCTATGCTAGGCAGGTGGGCTGGCAACTGCAGTTTGGCTTTTGGTGATGTTTTTAGAGGAACGCTGCTGTCCATCCTTCCATAATTCTAAGTTGTGTAAAAAAAAATGATATAGTCGCATCTCACGACACCCACGGGAAAGGAAGGGGTTGGCTATTCTATGCTGGGACCTATACGGGTACAAATATTCAGACATAATTATCAAAATTGGCTTGGAATTTGGGGAAATATCACAAAATATGTACAATTCTTTTTCTGATGTATATCTTGTACAAAAATCGTCTGAATAAGTACCTCGTGTATCTATCTGTCTGTAAGCAGCCGTATTTACACCGCTCAGTTTGAAAAGTGAGAAAACACAAAAATACCGGCGATTTTGGAAAGGATTTTTCCCAAAAAATAACAGACCTTCAAATTTGCGAAAATTAAGGTTATAAAAAGGGAGTAAAAATGAATAAACGAAATCGTTTAAAAAAATTGTCGACGTACAAAAAAGTCGAATCCCCCTCTTTCGAAGTCGGATAAAACGCTCGACACAAATACAGCAGCGAAACATGTAGAATTATATCATGTTCACATGCGTTTATACGCGAATGACATTTATTACAAGAGATAACTTATCGATACGTATATATAGGTACATATACTAGAAGTGAATTTCTCGATTTAACTGATTTTTAAGCGATTTGAAAAAAGATGGAATTTGATGGAAGAAAATTTTTTCCATCAATTTGCACATTCTTTTTGTCACTAATTTTTATAAGATTTTTGGAAATCATAAGATTTCGTTGTAGTTTGAAAAATTTTGTAAGGATTGAAGCTGCTGTTTTTCGTTGCGAAACATAAAACTGCTTGAATTATAACTATCGTGAGTCACTGCATTGTAATTATTAATTATTTATTACAATTATATAGAAAATACTGCTCGCGACATAGCCGTGAACGCACTCATAAATAAGAGGCTTCTATTTAGTTCGAAAGTAGTCGGGCATCCCCGAATTTAAAACGTGAACAAATCAGACAAAAAAATAAATAAAACTCCACGTTGTGAAGAAAAATCTACTTGTAATAACACAATTAAATTTTAACAATTTTAAATCTAATGTGTCTACGAAACATCTCATCAAGAGTCTTTGATTTAAATTCATTTCAAAAGATTGAAATCACCAACTTCGGAGTAACATCTTTTTTAAATGCATTTCAATCTAATGTATACAAGAAAAAAAATTTACGAAATTCTGTAAAGCAAATACTACTTTATAACAACGTGTATCTGATGTAATCTATTATAGATAATTTCCAACTAGATATTGTAATGTGTGATATTTCAGTAAATTTTTATGCTTTTTCGTCGAGCACACTTGAGAATCACGTTATCAATGACATAAGACTGATAATGTATTTGGGTTATATATTGATTTCATTATTTTTGCTTATTTCTCTTTATATTACAACGGTCGTAAACATATTCCTTCAGTTCTTTTTTTAATAGATGATAATGATTGCATTATCATTAATAACTCCGCCTGCGCTAATGGTATACACCGGCAGGGCACCAATGAGGGATGATAGGCGAGGATGAAAATGCAGGTTAATTAGCCTATCGTGATATGAATACACCTGGAATTCAGCAAGATAGTTTCCAAGGGGATCACGTAGAGGTCGACCCGACAGGGTATATTGCTAGCAATGAGACTGAAAGTCCGCATTAATAACAATCCCTTCCCCCCATATTCGTTCAGTCTGATGGTAAATGGTGCCCCGTGTAGCGCCTGTAACATTCTCTATTGCAATCCAATGGGAAAATACGGCCAACCTTTGTCCTCCCTTGTGGTCCCGGCATAGAATAGGTCACTTCCTCCTTTCCCGTGGGTGTCGTAAGAATCGACTACGGGAGGCCGAGGGATAGGCAGTAGAGTCCCTCTTAAAACATTTCCAAAGCCAAAAAACTGCGGTTGTCAGTTCGCCTGCCAAGCTTGGTAATTACTGGCAAAGCCTCCTTAGAGAGAGGCTTAAGCAGTGGACAGTTAAAAGCTGATATGATGGTGATGATAATAGAAGGTTGTAGAACTTCTAGTAATAGTAATCAAACCTCAAATATTGACAGTCGTACGTATATTAATGACGGCGGAATGAAACAAAATAAATCTAATCAACTAATCATTAAAAAAAAAAAACATTTGACTTACCATAGATACGGGAAGAGGATGCGCTCCGCCATTGGGATAAGGGTACGGTGCCATGAGGTAGCCCATGTTGAAACTAGCGGCCGGGTGAGGCTCAAATTTACCTGGAATTAAAATAAAATTGTAATAGTCATAAAACGATTTCGAAAGTTCTCTTTTATGTCAAAGAATATATAATATTTACATATTGGTGGGATAGAAATTTTATCGAAATTATTGCATATTACATGGGGGGGAGGGGGGATAAGGGGGTAAATATATAAACAACTAATATGTGTCCATGGAAAACATCTCATAAAAGAGTCTCCGTACATCATGTTTTGCTATTGTATTGCAACTTTTAAATCGTACAATATCTTATCGTACTACGGTAAATTATAAAAGCGCGAAAAAATATTTCCCGAAATAGCCTTGATTATTAAATGTATGAAATATTAAATATTTCATAAAGATTATTATAATAACAATTACCTAGACATTTTAATTGTATTTATGTTATGATTATGACTCAGTATAAATAAATCATAATATAGGGAAGTTTGTTTATGAGGAAATTTAAAAATAGCAGACGCAGGTCAGTGAACTCGATTTACTTGCGATATTCTTTATATTAATTACTAGTCTTTTACCCACGATTTAGTCTGTGTAAAGGGGATGTGTTGATTGTAAGCATTTGCAGCAATATACACTGCAAAAAGTATCATCTATTAAAAAATCCAAATATAGTGGCGGAAGAGGATTATTAGTAATGAGTTCTGTCCATTATTAGCGTGTACCTTATCAGGTCAATGTCCACGTGGTTTCTCCTAGATAATCATGATCGTGGTTATTTATTGTTGAATTCACCACTATGGGCCAACTGACATCCTCACCATCCATGCTTTTTTCCCTTACTAGTGCCCCGCCAGCATATACCGATAGTAGGTTATAAAAAAAACATACAAACAATTATATTTACAAACTTTTATATTAATAGGATTAAATAAGTATGTTTCCAAATTAGTGCGATCAATGATAAAAGATATTTAAAAGACGTGTAAACGTCTATTAACGCGCAAACTTGTGTACGAAAGTTAGTCGAAAAAGGTTGGGAGTTGCGACTCACGTAGACGCAGAAACGGCAGTTTGACTGCAAAGGTGAAAATTAAACGACGAAAACTCATTTGCGAGCGTAATTACTAACTCCCTAGTCGCGAAACCTTCCGTTTTCAAAGTTCGACGAACTCAATTCCGTAGCGATTCGGAGACGATTAATCGAATAGTTGCAAAATCGAACGGCCTATATACCGATTGAATATTTATATGATAGTATTCGATGAATTTGAGTCGCTTCGGATCGGGATATCGTAATGATATTTTTTGTTGCTTTTAATGATTGTTTTGATAGATTCAGAACTTCAAAGTTAAAAAGAATAAGTCATTACAGTTCGTCTGTCCGTATGTCAGAACAAGAATTTTTACAATGATCTATAGAACTGGTTAATTTTTATATTTGTAGTGGTAGTCGTACAACAATAATTTTACTTCAAATAATTGCTTTTAAACTGTCAATACAATAAATGCGAAATTTTTTATCATTTTCAAACTTTTACAATGATTAAGGAATAAAAGAACTGCAATTGTATGATTTTTTTGTAAAGCAATCAAAATCCAATGTCCATTCTAAATCTAATTTGATAATTATTTAAGACATACTGATAATTAAAGGAGTGTTGACACACTTAATTTTTGGTCCTTCTCCACACGGACATTATAAATCAAAATAGAAAATTTAATAGGCAACATATACAAAAAAATCTATTTCTTTTACCTAATATTACAACTAGTTAGTAATATTGTTGATCCAGCCCGGTTTCGCACGGGTAGATAGAATTTTCGAAAATAAAGTATAGTCTATGTTACTCGCTGATAATTTAGCTTTTTCTAGGTTAAAGAATTTTTAAAATTGGTCGAGTAGTTTTTGAGTTTATTCATTACAAACAAAGAATAAAATCTCTCCTCTTTATAATATTAGTACAAACGGAAAACAAGCAATTGCTTTGTAGTTTCTTTTGTAAAAATGAAAATACCAAATAACATATATCAACGAACAGCTACGATGTCATAAACACAACTGATTGTATGAAAATAAAAATGAAAAAAAAAATGAATACAGAATGTTAAGTATTGTCGTGGGCGGAGTCCAGTAAATTACGGATATCATAATGTATAGCTAATTTTACACATGTTGGAGAAAATACATCGTGTAGTTTATCAAAAACTGCTTCTTTATACATTTGTGTCACGCGATTTTGAAAGAAATCGTACCGCATCGGTCATTTTGTTTCGATTGGGAGCGTGAAATTATTTCGATAAGAAATATAGCTCCTCTAATAAATGGATTTATTTTCACCTGTCACAGGGACAGGTGAAATAAACAACAATATTGGACACGTAGTGTAATATCAAGTAGTACATATTATCCGTGTTTTTATATATAATATATAGGAAAATAATAAGGAAAAAATTATGAAATACTGCGCATTCTTTAGCAGTGACTCAAAAAAATTAAATAAAAGAAAGCTGACAATAGATTAGCTTCATATGTGACAACGGAATTATGTTGATGAGTGTCCACTTATTATACACACTTAAAGGGGTTTTGCACTTGTTTTAGAGATTACAGTAAAAAAAAAAACACAAAATATATTTAGCAAAAGACGACATCTATCGTCTAGATCAGACAACGGAATAGTCACGATCGAGACACCAGAATAGGGTCGCCTCGTCACTTAGTTTATTGACAATTTGGTAGTTAGCGTGGAATTATTTTCATTAGTGTCAACCTGCTGTTTATAAACTAATAGGGTTTCACACTTGAAATTATGGTAGAATAAAAAATAGAAAAATATATTTTGCAAATAGCGACATCTATCATCCAGATCCAACAATGGAATAGTTACGGTTGAAACACCAGAATAAGGTCGCCTTGTCTTTTCAAACTGTTAACAATCTGTATGCGCGGAATTATTTTGATGAGTGTCGTTCTCAAACGCTACTACACAGGTAACTTTGTACCCCTTTTAGAGGTTATAAAATAAAATATAAAATAGAAAAATACATTTTGCAAAAGGCGACATCTACCGACGAGGTCCAACAACGAAATAGTCGAGACACTAGAATAGGGTTGCCACGTCTTTTCAATTTGTCGACAATTTGGCTGCGAGTGTGGAATTATTTTGATGAGTGTCGGCCTCGGACGCTAATACACAGCTAATGGGGCTATGCACTTTGTTTTAGAGATTATAGTAGAATAATAAACACAGGGCACGTATTGTTTCGTTTCTGCGTCCACTTATCTCGCTCACTAACAATGTATGTTTGTTTTAATTTACTTTGTTGGTTATATCTGTGTGTAATATTCGGATAGAATGCAAATACTGGGCCGGTTTCGTCAACTACAACATATTAGGGGAGAAAGGATTGTTAGTAATGCGGACTTCCAGTCCCATTGCTAGCAATATACCCAACCAGGTCGACCTCCACATGGCCCCTCCTGGAAACTATCGAGCTGAATTCCAGGTGTATTCATCACGGTGGGCTAACAGACCTGCCTTTTCATTTTTACCTATCATCTCTCACTGGTGTCCCGCCAGCGTATAGCGTTAGCGCGGGCGGCGTTGCCTTTCCATTATCAGCCATTAAAAAAAACTACAACATTACTGGGTATTGTAGGAAACATGAGCTTATTAATAGGTAAGGAATCTTTACCTTTATTATAAAAAAAAAAGGAATTTTAGCAATAGTAATTAATATCAATCTTCCACTCCAAGTCAAATACATGACTAATTCTATAAAATGATATGGAAACCAAAGGGTGTGATCTACTAGTGAAACTGAATATCCCATCTTATCAGCCATTAACTGTCCACTGCTAAACATAGCCATAAGGGGGAGGGGGGGGGGGGGGTTGCCAGTAATTGCCACTAGCTATTATATTGCAGCTAGGGTTTTAGAGATGTTTTAAGAGGAACGTTGCTGACCATCCCACGAGCATTAAGTTCCCTTAGTCGCCTCTTACCACCACCCACGGGAATGAAGGGAAATGGTATATTTGTAGCATAGAACTACTTCCTATGCCACTGTGTTAGGTTGACTGGAAGAAATCTCTTTTATAGATAAGTTCGCTTATTCGATACATATATATATATATATATATATATATATATATATATATATATATATATATATATATATATATATATATATATATATATATATATATATATATATATATATATATATATATACAAGTAGAGAGACATCTAGAGTTACTAATCTATTTTAGAGTTTTTTTTTTAATAGGATGAATATGGAATGATAACACTGCCTGCTACTGGTGGGGCATCGTACCAGTTATAAATGAAAGCAGATCAGTTGATCCACCGCGATGAATTCACCAAGCCTTGACTAAGATCAGGGACAAATTGTATTTTTTTTTAAAAACATTATTTTAATTATTTTTAAATTAATATAATGTTATTAACAAAAAAAAAGAATGTATATAAAATTAAATTATAATATTCTAATGATTCATTCAAAATATTATAGATACCAGAATGAAAGAAAACATATCCAATTTGCCTGTGTCAATCATTTAAGGAAATATCATGTTTTTGTGACTGGCCCGAGTTTATCTTAAAGATAATGGCGGTTTTTATTTCGTTCCGATGCGATAATTAATCATATCGTCTTTGAAATTGGTTTTCTGAGAAATTGCATCGTTAATTGACGCGCGTTAGATAATATGGGCAGAGATATTTTCAAAATTAATAATGTATAGTAATAAGTAAACATTATAATATAACAAGCTTATATCCGCGACTTTGTCCGCGTGACCGGGATAAAAACTAGCTTATGTCTTTCTTTATCCTATATCATATATACTTGTATACCTAATTTTGGTTTATTTAATTATACCTAAACATAAATACGTGTAAACCTATGGTGATGGGATTGTTAGTAATGAGGTTTAGCAGCATTGCTAGCAATAAACCTCGTCAGGTCGATTTTCACGTGGTTCCGCCTGGAAACCATCGTGGTAGATTCTTGAATTCGTCACGAT